CAATTGGGGACGTTGGGGACACTGGGGGGACAGTGGGGACCGTGGGGGGACATTGGGGACCACGGGGGGACATTGGGGACCACAGAGGAACCCTGGGAGCTTTAGGGAGCATGGGGGGAGCTTGGGGTCCCCAAGGGGACCCTGGGGCCCGAGGTGGCCCCCGAGGACCCCGAGGTCGCCCCTGTTGCCCCTGCCCTGGTCCCCAAATGGCCCGTGAGGGTCCCGCGATGGCCCACGGTGACCAATGAGGACCCTGTGGTGGCCACGATGACCCTGTGGTGACCAACGATGACCCTAGGGTGGTCCCTGGTGACCCTACAATGGTCCACGATGACCGTCGATGGCTCGCGATGGCCCTTGATGACCAACGGTGACCCTACAGCGGTCCTTGGTGGCCAACGATGACCACCCAGTGACTCCCAATGACCAACAATGACCCTACGATGACCACTGGTGGCCATTGATGGCCCGTGATGACCGTTGATGATCCATGATGACCCTACAATGGTCCCCGATGACCAATGATGGCCTCGCGGTGGCCAACAGTGACCCTGTGATGACTCATAATGACCAACGATGACCGTATGATGACCAATGATGACCATTGACGGTCCTACAATGGTTTCTGATGACTGACAATGACCCTACGACGACAATGGATGACCGTACAATGACTCGTGAAGACCAACGATGACTCTAAGGTGACGGTTGGTGCCCATTGATGACCCCATGATGACCAACGATGACCCTACAATGACCAGCGATGACCTTACGGTGCCCATTGGGGCCCATTGATGGCCCTATGATGGCTGTTGGTGGCCCTACAATGACTCATAATGGCCAACGGTGACCCTGTGATGACCAGGGATGACCCTACGATGCTCCCTGATGACCAACGATGACCCTCCGATGACCAGTGATGACCCTAGGATGACTCAGAATGAGGGTTGATGCCCACGATGACCACTGGTGCCCATTGATGACCCTGCGATGGTCCCTGGTGGCCAATGATGCCCCTATGATGGCACACGATGACCCTACACTGACTCCTAACGACCAACCGTGACTATCATGACCAACAATGACCCTCCGGTGACCATTGGTGCCCATTGATGACCCCATGATGACAGTCGATGCCCATTGCTGACCCCCCGGTGCCCAGTGACCCCCATTGATGACCCCATGATGACCAATGATGCCCATTGGTGGCCCCACGATGCCCAATGATGCCTGTTGATGACCCCCCGGTGCCCAGTGACCCCCATAGATGACCCCACGATGCCCAAAGACGCCCATTGATGACCCTACGATGCCCAAAGACGCCTATTGATGACCCCACAATGACCAATGATGTCCATTGATGACCCTGCGACGCCCAAAGACGCCCATTGTTGAACCTACGGTGACCAATGACCCCCATTGATGACCCCACGATGCCCAAGGACCCCCATTGATGACCCTACGATGCCCAAAGACGCCTATTGATGACCCTACGATGACCAATGATGTCCATTGATGACCCTACGACGCCCAAAGATGCCCATTGTTGACCCTACGATGACCACTGATGCCCATTGGTGACCCTATGATGACAGTTGATGCCCATTGATGACCCTACAATGACGGTTGATGCCCATCGATGACCCCCCAATGCCCAGTGAACCCCATTGATGACCCCACGATGTCCAATGATGCCCATTGGTGACCCTACGATGCCCAATGACCCCCATTGCTGACCACCCGATGCCCAGTGACCCCCATTGATGACCCTACAGTGCCCAAAGACGCCCATTGTTGACCCTACGATGACCAATGACCCCCATTGATGACCCCACGATGCCCAAGGACCCCCATTGATGACCCAACAATGCCCAAAGACACCCGTTGTTGACCCTACGATGCCCAAAGACGCCCATTGTTGACCCTACGACACCCAAAGACGCCCATTGTTGACCCTATAATGCCCAAAGACGCCTATTGATGACCCTACAATGACCAATGATGTCCATTGATGACCCTACGACGCCCAAAGACGCCCATTGTTGACCCTACGATGACCACTGATGCCCATTGGTGACCCTATGATGACAGTTGATGCCCGTTGATGATCCTACGATGACGGGTGATGCCCATCGATGACCCCACGATGCCCAGTGAACCCCATTGATGACCCCACGATGCCCAAGGACCCCCATTGATGACCCTACAATGCCCAAAGACGCCCATTGTTGACCCTATGATGCCCAAAGACACCTATTGATGATCCTACAATGACCAATGATGTCCATTGATGACCCTATGACGCCCAAAGACGCCCATTGTTGACCCCACGATGCCCAAGGATCCCCATTGATGACCCCACGATGCCCAAGGACCCCCATTGATGACCCTGCGACGCCCAAAGACGCCCATTGTTGACCCTACGATGACCAATGACCCCCATTGATGACCCCACGATGCCCAAGGACCCCCATTGATGACCCTGCGACGCCCAAAGACGCCCATTGTTGACCCTACGATGACCAATGACCCCATTGATGACCCCACGATGCCCAAGGACCCCCATTGATGACCCTGCGACGCCCAAAGACGCCCATTGTTGACCCTACGATGACCAATGACCCCCATTGATGACCCCACGATGCCCAAGGACCCCCATTGATGACCCTRCRAYGCCCAAAGACGCCCATTGTTGACCCTACGATGACCAATGACCCCCATTGATGACCCCACGATGCCCAAGGACCCCCATTGATGACCCTRCRAYGCCCAAAGACGCCCATTGTTGACCCTACGATGACCAATGACCCCCATTGATGACCCCACGATGCCCAAGGACCCCCATTGATGACCCTGCGACGCCCAAAGACGCCCATTGTTGACCCTACGATGACCACTGATGCCCATTGGTGACCCTATGATGACAGTTGATGCCCGTTGATGACCCTACGATGACGGTTGATGACCCCCCGGTGCCCACTGACGCCCATGGGTGGCCCCGCGGTGCCCAGTGACGCCCATGGGTGGCCCCGCGGCCGCCCCCCGCGCTCACTCATGCCGTTCTTGAGGGGCGACACGACCTCCATGGCGTCGCGGGCCACGTGCAGCGCGTTGGTGTCAATGTAGTAGACCTTGCCGCCCTTCTTGTCCTTGTCCCCGTCCAGCTCCATGGCCACCTCGTCCGGGGACAGCAGCCCCACCGTGGTGGGGAAGTCGGCCTGTTGCGGGGGGGGACGGTGATGGGGACGTGGGGGGGACAGGAGGGACCGGGACACTGAGGTGGCCTTGGGGACACTGAGAGGGACATGGGGAGAGTGACGGGGACATGGGGACAGCGATGGGGACATTGAGGTGGCCATGGGGACATGGGGACAATGACAGGGACATGGGGACAGTGATGGGGACATGGGGATGGAAATGGGGACATGGGGGCACTGAGAGGGACATGGGGACAATGATGGGGACATGGGGATGGTCATGGGGACATTGAGGCGGCCATGGGGACATGGGGACAATGATGGGGACAAGGTTGGGGACATGGGGACGGCAATGGGGACATGGGGATGGTGATGGGGCCACTGAGGTGGCCATGGGGACACTGAGAGGGACATGGGGACAATGACGGGGACATGGGGATGGTTGTGGGGACAATGACGGGGACATGGAGATGGTCATGGGGTCATTGGGATGGTCATGGGGACAGCGATGGGGCCGTTGAGGTGGCCATGGGGACATGGGGACAATGACGGGGACATGGGGACAACAATGGGGACAGTGTTGGGGACCTGGGGACAGGGACATGGGGACAATGATGGGGACATTGAGGTGGCCTTGGGGACATGGGGACACAGTGACGCCGATGGGGACACAGTGAGACCGATGGGGACGCGGTGACACCAACAGGGACACGGTGACGCCGATGGTGACACGGTGACGCCGATGGGGACGCGGTGACACCAACAGGGACACGGTGACGCCGATGGGGACACGGTGACAACAACAGGGACACGGTGACGCCAATGGTGACACGGTGACGCCGATGGGGACACGGTGACGCCAACAGGGACACGGTGACGCCGATGGGGACACGGTGACGCCGATGGGGACGCGGTGACACCAACAGGGACACGGTGACGCCAATGGGGACACGGTGACGCCAATGGTGACACGGTGACACTGATGGGGACGCGGTGACAACAACAGGGACACGGTGACGCCGATGGGGACACAGTGAGACCGATGGGGACGCGGTGACACCAACAGGGACACGGTGACGCCAATGGGGACACGGTGACGCCGATGGGGACACGGTGACACCAACAGGGACACGGTGACGCCAATGGTGACACGGTGACGCCGATGGTGACACGGTGACACCAACAGGGACACGGTGACGCCAATGGGGACACGGTGACGCCGATGGTGACACGGTGACGCCGATGGGGACGCGGTGACGCCGATGGGGACGCCGTGATGCCGATGGTGACGCGATGACACCAACAGGGACACGGTGACGCCGATGGGGACGCGGTGACAACAACAGGGACACGGTGACGCCAATGGGGACACGGTGACGCCGATGGGGACACGGTGACACCAACAGGGACACGGTGACACCGATGGGGACGCGGTGACACCCACCTTGGGACAGTCCTCGCCCGCGTAGCCGGCGCGGACCGAGAAGGAGCCGATGTCGAACACCAGGGCGCCGACCTCATCTGGGGGCGTCAGGCGCCGCTACAGCGCGACAACAGCGCGACCACCCCGGCGGCAGCGCGACCACCCCCGGCGACAGCGCAACAACCCCCGGCAACAGCGCCACAACCCCCGGCAACAGCGTGACAGCCCCAGGCGATACTGCAACAACCGCTGACAGCTGTGCAACAACGCCAAACAACAGCGCGACAACA